GTCATCCCGCTCATTTCATCCATGGAAAATCTAGCCTTGAGGAACGCAAAAGTCAGACATAAACGTCTCGCTTCATCCTTTTTAAGATATGTATATTTTATTGTTTACTAGTTAGATTTAATTTCTGCAATTTATCTTTTCAGTTTTTTCGATTGCATTAACTCATTGCATTTTTTCTAATTAAATATAGGATATTCGCATATTCTCTGAGTTCGACCCGGACACTCACCGGTTAAAGAAATTTTTTATTTTTGACGAACTTTTTGGAGTTACTACTACACGAACACACATGACACTATTTTTATTTTATACATATATCATTTTTTGTATCTTAAAGATATTTTTCATTTCCCAAAAATCTTCGATCAATAACCTTTAAAATTCTTAAGACAAACTAATCAAGACTGATAAGATGCTTCAAACAAACCAACAACTTTCCCTCAATAACGAACACAAAGAGTGTAGGTATTTAATAAAAAAGTTATAAGTGAGATATGACAAAAAAACCCTGCATTAAAAATAAAAAAACTAGTTAGGTGGTAATTATATCCATGTATTGCATTACAAAAACAAAGATTGAGTTACATGCATATCCATGTATCATATGCACGGTATGAAATTTATAAAATGTTGATACTTCTAAGTTCACAAAAAAGTCATTGTTTGCTTACTCAAAAAAGAGTTATCATTGAGAAGGGAGATATGATTGCATCTTAAACCTCAAATCCAAGTCCGGAGAACAATACCATAGCATAGTCTTCTTTTCCTTTGTCCATGAGGTATGTGAGACAATTAATCACCAAATCCTTGGTTACATTCAGGTGTCTAGGTAAAGAATCCTGCCTAATAAGTGCATCCTTCTTCATGTGTGGAATTTTATATTTTTTTGTCCTTTACTCTTCATTATTTCAATCATGCACCCTTGTAAGCTCAAAATAACTTTGTTTAGTTTTTATCCTGTCAATTTTTCAAAAGATAACACCACTGCATTCACTAGCTCATCCACGTTAGTGCAATCCTTTTCAATTTGAATACTTTATATAGCCCTAAACCATCCAAGGTCGTTGATATTCAAATTTGGAGAGTTGGGAGGTTGTTGCACTAAAACAATGTCAAATCCATCACTTTTGGCAGCTTTTCAGAAATCGGCATCATCATTTTTTATGTGTGCTCTAACGTTATCTTGCTGAATATCATTTTGTCATGTTGGCTGACCATTTCTTCTTTATGGCTTTTATGGCTAGGATAATCTGTCAAAATATTGAAAAATAAATAATGGACACATTCAATCTTTTAAAGTTAGCGAATGCATATAGTAAAATAGAATAAGTTGGATTGTGTTAGTTTGAATGCACACTAGTGCAATCTAACGTTTTATAAATTCAATTAGTACTATACTTACTTTGTCAATTAAGTAAACCTTAGTAACATCATTTGTAATTGATTAAATAGGCTTGGTGATTAGGCTGCCTGCTACCCGATTTTTACTACTTTTTTTTGCAGCTTCCTTGTAAGTGGGAAGATACCAATTTTTCCATAAAAAATCAGTGAACCATCCACCCCATATAGTGGTCTTGAGACTGCGGACATTAACATAATCTTGGTAATAAATGCCTTGGTTTGACATGTTCTGTGTGGATTTTTCTCTTCCGGAGTCATATAGAATCTATGTGAACCTTTAGTGATATAAAACCACTTGGTTTAAGAGCACTTGTGTGTGCTCTTAAGGCTCCACTTGAAATCCACCTCCAAACAGTACTTTTAGAACAACTAATTGATGCAACCCATACTTCGAATAGAACTTTTTTTTTTTTTTTAGGGGAATACTAGCAATCAGCTCATAATTTGGAAGCATTTTCTTTGGCTTAAAAATATTTTTCTTTTTACTGCTTGAGTAAATTACTTCGTCATTATCCATTTTTTTTTTTGGTATCCCTCCAATACCGACTGACAGTACACTTAGACCATGAAAATTCTTTTTGTGCCTCCACCATTTTACCAAAAGCAGGTTTGTCATTCTTAAGATTTCTAAGTAAAAATTGAACTATTGTATTACGCTCACTATCACTGTGATTTTTTTTCCCTGTCATTGTAGGCCGGATGTCAAGGAAAAACTTATACTGAGATGATCACGGGCAAGCTACCGTTTAAGATAAGGTAAAAATAAATAAATAAGTATATTTTATATGGATAAATAATTGTGAAATAAAATAATGAAGCAAATTTACCTTTTTTCAAAGATACTCCATAAAATTTTATCCATTCTCTGCTGTACTGCATTGCATTTTGACTAATCTCTATATTCTTTTGTGAATGACAGTGCAAAGGTTAAAGTTTTTACGGTCCCCTTGGTGTAGTTTATAGCATATGTAATTTTTGAGGGAAATTATTAGGAGGAAAAACAAAATTTGGGGAGTATTTGGCAGAATTTCATATCCAGATTGCTTTTTGTTTACTGCAATTGACTGGTTGATGTTGTATCTGTGATTTGTTATACTCTACCATGCAATATCTTTTGGCTACAATTGATGCTGTATAGTTTTGTTATTATCAAATTTGAAATGGCTTATTATGTTAAAATTATGACTAAAATGATTTTTTCTAGTTCTATTATTGTTGATATTATGTTTTTATTATCAAATATGGAATGATTTATTATGTTGTGTTAGAATTATCGCTGAAATGATTTCATAGTTACGACTGATATTGTATTTTTATTATCAAATTTGAAATAACACGTTATGTTAAGATTATATGTTAAATGATTATAGCTTATTACTCAGAAAATATAGAACACCATGTAACACAATATAAAACTTTTACTATTCAAACTAATTTTAATAATTAAAATTATGAATTTAATTTTAATTCAATATAAAATTTTCATTGTTAATTTTTTTTAACTAAATATTTAAATTTATTAAATTTTAAAATAAAATAAATGTATTAAATATTATTAAAATTTAAATAATATATAAAATTATTCACAATATTATCTATATAAAAAATAAATAAAATTATAATATAAATCATCATCATTAATTCACTAAGCTACCTACTTTAACTCACTAAATTATGTTACCTTAAATACCGTGCCACAACCCAAACACTACAAGAAAAAATCATTTTTGTAACAAAACTTTTTTGTCTCTAAATCTATTTTTTCCGTTACTAATGACATTAGACACGGAATTAGTAATGGAATTACGTTAACTACGTGAACTTTAGGGACGGAATTCCGTTACAAATATATTATTTTTTTGTAGTGAAAGGTATCATTTCAGGTGAGACAGAGGGAGTATGTCTTTTCTTCTAATTGTTTTGATTTCGAATATTATATTCTAATATATATATATTTTTTTATTTTATAGATTATGTTCAAATTATAAATTTTTGTACTTAATTAGGAATTAATTTTAAAAATTTCAAGATTAGTCTAAGAATAATTTTTATCTAATTTGTATTATTAATATATTTTATTTGTTGAGTGTTCCATATTTTGTACTCTTAAATTAAATTACTTTTGTAATATTTTATTTATTTATAAAGAATCTACATATTAATAATACATTATTAAATAAATTAAAATTTAATATGATAAATAATACTAAAATGATTTTTTTTATGCATAGCATGTGTATTATGTTAGAAAACAAAAATAACTAAAAATATTGAAAATGATGATAATTAAAAATTTAAATATAAATATAATAATTTTTGTTTAATTTTGATATATAGTTATGTTATATATTTTGGTATTTTGGTATATACAGTATTATCTATATATATAAATATTAGTATATATCAGTATCATAATATATAATGAACTTGAGTATGGTAATGATAAACTAGCATGCAAAATTTTACATTGTTACCGTACCGAAATCACTGATACGCTATTGTAGCGTACCAAAATTTACAGTATTTTGAAAATTTTAATATATATTTTTTTATGTACAATACAGACGGTATACCGTATTTTCAATATTTTTCTACTATATAGTTTTGTATATAAAATATCCGTGCATAGCCCGGGTTAGAGCGGGAAAACAAACAACCAGTTCGCAACTTTAGTTCGATTTGGCTTGTTTGAGCTCATTAAGAGCTCGTTTGTTAAGTTAAACAAGTCGAAAACAAACATAAATTTTAGCTTGTTATGTTAATGAATGAGCTCGAGGTTGTTTGCGAACATTCAACAATATGTATTAAAAAAATAAAATAAATAAATTTATATTTAATAAGTAAATATATTTTTATAAATATAATATAGGGTAAATTATATAATACATCTTTTGTTTTTAGTAAAAATGTATAAAATATCATTTGTTTTATTTATTGCATGAAATCCTCTTGTGTTAATACCACTACAAAAAAATAATCTATTTGTAACGGAATTCCGTCCCTAAAGTTCACGTAGCTAACGTAATTCCATTCCTAATTTTGTCTCTAGTGTCATTAGTAACGGAAAAAGTAGATTTAGAGACAAAAAAGTTTGGTTACAAAAATGATTTTTTCTTGTAGTGTACACTAAAAAAAAATCTCAAATTGCTATGAAATACAATCTATTGTAAAAGTGCAACGGAATTTGCTAAACAAACAGGAGATTGTCGAGGAAATATTGCAACAGAATAAATTTACCACAAAAATTCTAAAAATTATATTAGGAATATTACATCCTGTTGCAAAATTGAGATGGAAATAGCAACAAATTAATTCCGTTGCAGATTTTTCAAAATTTACTTAGAAAATTGCAACATAAATAGCAAAAGATTAAATTATTTACAAAATTTCATTAATTTCACGAGGAATCTTACATTTTATTGCAAAACTACTATGAAAATAACTACATATTAAATCCGTTGCAAAATTGATCTATTTTAATAATATTATTAATTAATTAATAATTATTTAAAAAATAATTTATTAATTATTAATTATATTATTATTGATTATAATTAAGTAATTACTCTAAATATTCCCAAAGAATTGTTATCAACCCACCCAAACACACGTCAAACGCACACAGCTCCTTCCAACCATTTTCAATTTCCCCAAATTGAACTCGCAAAGCTCGTGGATCATCTCCTCCGCTGTCGCTGCTTCCAGATAGCCCGAAAATGACCGGAGGCTGGTAATCCTCACTTGAGCGGTTCGATTTTCACCTAAGCGCAGCAGTTGTAGGAAACAACTAGGTTCGCGAGCGGCCGAGGCACAGGGGTACAACTTCATCGCCTCTTCTTTGGGCGTTGATATTTTGCTTATCAGCTATTATATTTTTTGGATAGGAGATGGTAATTTCTTTTAATACAATATGAGCCGTAGGCTGCCATGATTTTGATTTTTTTTTTTTTTACTTCGTTGAGAAAATATTAAATGAGCTATTATGATTTTTGTGCCTATATATTGCGTACAATTTAATACATTCAAATAACTTTTGAATGAAATTGGAATGTTTCTAGATTTCCCTCATATAAATGTTTCAATAGTATGATTGTATTTACAAAGATGTAGTAACCGGTACCCTCTGTGAATACAAAACATTGGTTATGAAGAGTTTATTGCTTTTTCTTGATGTTTCTATGATGTCATGCTAATCACTTAAACAATCTTGGTTCTCTTGCAACATTTTTTAGTTAACATGTTTGCTCGGTTCCTAATTGATGGACTGGGATGCTTTTGAACTTCTGAAGCTTCGGATAATATTTTCTGCAGTTATTAGTTAGCCATGCACTTTATGACAACACCAAGAATGGTTTTCATAGTCTTTTGTGTCTACAAATGTCATGTGATTGTTCATTATAGTATTAATTCTGATGGTTGACAGAAACGTTACAATTTATGCATTAGAAGATTCTAGGTTATTGTCATCCCTTAGGAGGTGCTAATATTTTATAGAAAAGGGAAAATATCATAGTGTCTTTGTTATTACCTTTTATTCTATTGTTTTGAGTCATTTCTGTTTCTAACATCAATATAGATGGATGCATCTTCCAGAATCTCTAAAATAAGAAGTCGAGAACGTGATAGGCTCAACGGGCCTCCTTGGCTTAAGGTGTGTTAGTTTTGTTTATTTAGGCACTAAATACTACACATAAACGACTATTTTTGTCATTTGTATGGTTTATTAAGCTTTACTTTAAAGATGAAATTAATAATTTGAGTAGGCACAATATGTCTTTTCTAATCATTCCTTTAATTGCTTTTATTAGTTGCAGTTAACTTTAAATGCAGTCTTGATCTTATGTTACATTTAGAAACCTTGCCTTGTTTTCAAATTTAAACTTCTCTTTATCAATGAGAGTCTCATTATTATATGTTGGGGTTCTGAACTGAATTTCCATCAAACTAATCTCAGGCACTGATGGGTGGTATGGCATTCTCACATGTGTATATGCTATTCTTAACTATGCCCAGACTGGTTTGATTGCAGCTGTGTTTTTCCTTAAAGTGAGTATAATAATATGTTCTGTTTTATCCCATTATTGACACATAATTTTATTTATTTTATAATTCCTTTAATAATTTGTTTGACATTATTGTTTCATGTTGGTAATTGATATGAATTTGAGTGGGATTTACTTTGAAATTTTGTTGAACTATAATTCTAAATGTTAGTGTGCATTTGATGACTTGAGTTATGTCTTGGTATTTAGTTGTGAGAGGTGTTGTTGACAAGAAGTACTACTCACACTGTTCATTTGCTTTATAAATTCCATATTGTATCGTATTAAACAAAGTGCATAATATTGCTTCTTTTTTTTTTTTTTTTCTAAATCTTGTATGTCATGGGGGATGCTTCATACTGCAATATTATATGTTGAAATTAATGTAGTGGTAATTTTGAAGTTGTTAGCTTTTGTAGTGACATTATCAATTAAGAAACAGGAAACATGATTCGGCCCCTGATAATTCCTTATAGCAAAGACATTAACTCCGAATGATTCTATATATATATATATATAGATGAACACCCAAAATCAGTACAGGAACTGCATGGTTGATGGAAAGATTTAATTGGATATTCTTGAATGACTGAAATGGTTTGATCTGAAGGATTTGAGAAGTTCTTGCAGTCACAGAACATGAGGAGACAATAATCATTTCAAAAATAGACTATTCTCAGCTTGATCTCAGAAGGTGAAACATAATAAGCATCCCTTGTATTATATCCATTTTTACGTACGATATTACGAAGATATGTTTCGTTCTCACCATGTGCAGAACAAACATGCCGCTAGGACAGCAAAGACAGAGTTATTAGTGTTCTTCTACAATTTCTTTGGCATCTCTCTAGCCTTGCCTGTAATACCCCGTAAAATAATCGCCGGAAATTTGTCGGAGTCGGACAAATTTTATTTTGGGCATAATTTATTTTGGTCTTTTAGTGTAATAAATTAAAGAGTTGGGTTTAAATTAGAAGTAAATATTTAAAATTGGGCCCACGTAGGGTAAGATAATTAATAAAGGTCTAAATATTTTATATTTAACAAAAAATAAAATAAAATAAAATAAAATAAGGAAAAAAGAACAGCAGCCAACACGCACGCCGCCGCCGCCAACCCCTTATTCTTCCTTAGAGTTCTTCATCTCCAAAATTCTTTCTTTTGGTCTCTTCTCTTGAGGTAAGTGGGATTAATCTTAGATAGATTGATATATTGTAATCCCTAGACCCCTTTTATTGATATTTTTTTCAAAATCATTGTCAAATGGGTTTGCCTTAAAAGTGTTAGGTTTTGCCAATTTCTTCTAGAAAGCTGATTATAATGTCATCTAAGGCTTATGTGAAGATTATTATTGTATTTTAAATTGAAAAATCGTAGAATTTATGGGATGGGTTTGAAACCCTAGTTTTGCCCTAACCTAGTTATGGTTTTTGGAAAAAGATTTACGATTATATTTAAATATTATGATTTTGGAGTTAGACCATGCCTATTGTGATTGACATATTTTTCGAATGTTTATTTGGCGAAATAAAGTGAGATTATAACGAACTTGTTGGGTCTAATATCCTACTTTTGCATATGGTTAAATGTTGACAATTGAAAGATTTTGAGTTTAAAACACTCTTTTTGAAATTTGTCTAAGAGCATGTTGAGTATTTGGTCAAATTGGTAATTGAAACTACCCGTCGAGTCCGATCAACTCATCGATTGTTTGGATAATAAGGCATAGTCTTTAACCTCTATGCCTTGCAAACACGTGAGGGTATACCGGTATTTTAGGATAACTAGCTAACCTTGAACTAGATCCCGAATGGGATAGGTCGAGGGATCGAGATGGCGGGTTCCGTTTTTGGGTGATTCCGAGGTGCCCGTCATTTACGATGAAAAGGTCTTTAGACCGTCATCCATGATGGAGGGTTGGATTGCGTACAATCCCCTCTTGGTATGTTATATTGGAGACTAGAGGGTTGTGGGCCGTATGGCATCCCTCGCAAACTAATAATAAATTGATGTACATGTACTTTGGGTTTCGAACCCTTATGTACACATTGTGGAGTTTCCTTTGAGGGTTGTGACCCTACGGTTGTTATGTGAAACTATGTGACGTGTTATACGAAGTAATAAGGTTGGAAAACCGGGTCGAGCCGGTCCTGATTAAAGCCTAGTGGAGTTTTCGTCATGATGTGCTCATCACTATTATTTGAGAATGAAAATGAGATATAAGGGAGGCGCTAAAAGACTCGTGTGTGTGAGTTCTTCTTATGTGATACATGTCATCTTATCCAATTATCTTCTTCAAATGATTTTGTGACATTATACCGTATTAATTTATCTTCAATTAATTGCATTTACTCAACCGTTGTGTTGACCCTCTTCTTACAATCTTGTGATCATGCTTCCGTTATACTTAAATGATGCATTCGCGTCATATGATCCATCGGGAGAAATTAGAACTACTTTACCTTTTAAAATGCTTTTGAAATTCATTAATCATGTTTAAAGACTAATGCCTCTTGAATTATTTTCAATTTATACTTTTAAGTTGAACTTTATTTACTTAATTGATAAGCCGGTGCGCTTTAATTCTAAGTTCCTATTAGTTGTTGGTATTTATTATTTTAGCCTTGGCGCCACAACGTAGGACTCGTTGGTTGATGAACGAGCCTTCTGGCGTGGCGTGGCGGTGACGCTCCGGTTTGAGCTGGCCGAGGTGTTACATTGCCTATTGGCCTTCCCTCCGAAACCATCTCAGTTCGTTGATCATCCTTCGGATCTTCGCTTGGTGTCTGTGTTCTTTGGCTTCTCTTAAGTATTTATATATACATAAAATTGAATTTTTGGATATATAATATATATAAATTGAATAATATAGTAGAGCAGAGAAGGTGTCTTCACATTAATAGGCATTTCAGTTTAGTTATAGTAACAAGAAAAAATAATTTAATAAATAAAATGATTAAATTATATATATATATATATTTTATGGGATGATTTTTACATTTTACCTTATGAACAAAGTAATTTTTATTAATTGTTTCAGTAAAATTAATGAATTTGTAAACTAGTGTAGTGTTTATGTCTATATATTTATAGGGTTGGGATCCCATGCTGAAACCTAATATTCAGCATTATGCTGATCCATTAATAGCCTTTGGATTATAGAAGTTAATCTAAAGGCTTATATTAATCTAGGGATATAAAAATAATTTACTTACAAATAATTTATGTAATTGTCTTTTATTTTCTAATTCTTTCCTCTGTTGTTATTTTTTTTCCCCTTTTGTAATTTCAACACCGCACAAAAAAAAGAGCATAATCTTTCAACAAAATTTTGAATAAAATTGATAAAGATGAGCAAAATCTATTTGCCATTATTCCAACCTCAATAAATTCCTAAAAAGCAACAGAGATATCGAATAACTAAAAATTTCAAATATTTCATCTCCTTCGCTCAACAACGTGATTATTTCATAATTTTTCAAAATTTGTAGAACAACCAAATATTAAAATCTCGTTTGCATGATTGCAGCTATTAAAAATTTGAATAATATACATTATTGATTGTTATTATATCAAAATATATAGATTACTGCTAATTAAAATAAATTAGCATCTTGAATTTAACATTTACGTATGCATAGGAAGCATTCCATACTATATTATATAACTCGATACAAAATTCGGCATTCCTTAAAATGTGTGACAACATTTTAATACTCAATAGAGAGTATATTGTTTGACGTTTTTCAGTATCCGATATAAACATGATCAATTGATTGACATATAGAGAAATTAACAAAATTTTATAATTTTTATTATGAGTATTCACATAATAGGAGTTTGTAGTATGGATTAAAATCCAAAAAAAATTCAGCGTTCATTATTATATAAAAATACTTATATTATTGTTAATGAAAAAAATTTAGCATATCGTTCAATTGAGTTTAGCATTTGCGTGTGCATGAGAGAACATTTCATATTATGTTATATACTACTTGGTACAACAATGGATATTTTCTAAAATGTGTGACAACATTTTATTATTCAATAGACAACATATTGTTTGATATTTTTCTGCATCTAATATAAACAGGGTTCATTGATTGACATACAATTAAATTAACAAAACCAGATGTTGCTTACAATTTATAGTGTATGTATGCATATAATAGAGGTTTGTAGTTAGGTTTAAGATGCATTAAAAAATTCAACATTTATTTTTGCATAAAAATACTCAGATTATTGTTAATTAAAGTAAATCAACATTTTGTTTAATTGATTTAAGCAATTATGTGTACAGGAAATAGCGTTTTATACCATACTATTCAGCACGACATCAATTGTCGCCACATACTTTTTCAATATTCTTCCGATCACTATCACTATCCTTCTTCCACCATCGCCGCCACCCTCCGCTCAATCCTCCCATACTACTTGAACACATTTTACCACTCACCATCGCATCGCTCAACAGTAATGATCAATCATCTACCACCGATGACTTTCCACCTATCAACTAAGCCCACACACACTCCCGGAGAATAGAGATCACCCTCAAGACAGCGGCGATGGCAGCAGCAACGACAACGTAGACGACAGCAGCGGCAGTGGCGTCGGCATAGACGATAGCAGTAGCAACAGAAAAGAATCATAAATAATTACCCTAAAAAATCAATTTTATCCTTATTTAATCTACACCATTAATTTTATATCAAATTTGATTAATTGATGAAATTAAATCAGCACTATGCTGATGACACTCCCATCAGCAGGGGATCCACATCCATATTTATATCTAGGTGTTATGTATACCTTTGGTTGAGAGTTATGTCACAATACCATCAATAAAGTTATGTCACATTAATAAAGTTATTGATAAATTTACTATCTCTTGAATATGAACTTAGCATGGCTTATTTTCTTATTACACATGTTATGTGTGGCTATTACAGTTTGATTTTTGTGAAATGATTGTGCTCCAGGTACACCTGTAAGAGGTTGTCTTGAGGTTGATTTTGAAAGATAGTTGGATTTTTTATTCAAGTTGCTCGTATTGCAAGTTCTATACAAAAAGAATATGAGAAACATCCAAAATGGTTTATGAAAGGACTTGAGAACAACAAAAAGATCATTGAACTCTGGAACCAGGTAGAAAGCTTTGCTTCACAATTTGTCATGCTGGGATATGATGAATGATTTATTATTATATATATTTTTAGTTACGACTTTATTTTTGTATGATATTTGGTAACTGGAAGTAGATTTATACATTTACCTGATATGTGCTACTTGCAGTATTGATATTAAATATATTTTATTATGTAGTCTATTATATTTTGTTTTGTTTGAAATTTCTATATGATTTTTAGTTAGTTTTTGTATATTTGATGGGAGATATTAATCGAATCATTAAGGGCGTGTTTGTCAATTAGCTGATAGCTGTTAGCTGATTCAATTAGCTGATTTGACTAGCTGATTAGATTAGCTGTTTGTATTAAAATGTTTGGTAAATCAACTGTTTGATATTAGCTGTTTATACGTAAAATGATAATTGAGGACATTTCTATTTTATTTTTGTTTCTAATATATTCAATTATGTTCCTTTGAGTTTAGAATGTTTAAAATGTTTGGTTATTAGTTATTGAAAATTGTAAAAGTGTTATAAAAGTATTTATTTTTATTACAGTTAGATTTAAAAAATAATATATTTTTATTAGCATATATAAATAGTTTTTTTCTATTGAAAATGATGTAAGATATAAAATAATAAATTTTTCGTGTATATATTTATTATGTTAGTTATCGATTAGTTCATTATATTTATAATTTTCAATAAATTTAATTTATTTAATTTATTTTTAGTATAAAATTTATATAATGTAATTTTAATATAAAAATAAATTATTAATATTTATATTTATATTTTATATTGATTTTAATAAATTTATATATTTTACGATTAAAATAATTTTTATATAAAAATTAATTATTTTAAATTTATAAAAGTAAAACTATAATATGATAAAATATTCCAATATAATTAATAAATAATCAAAATATATTTATTTGTGTAAAATGTATAATAAATTTTTAAGGGCTTATAAGGAATAAATTTTTTTTTTTTTTTACAGAAAAAGCTATTTCAAAACGCTGGGTAAGTTAGCTTTTCAGAAATTAGCTTTTTGGGTCCAAAAAACTATTCCAAAAAGCTAATTTACCAAACACCTAAATTAGCTTTTTGACTGGTCAAACAGCTAAAAGCTGTTCAATAAGCTAAAAGCTCTTCAAAAAGCTATTTGCCAAACACCCCCTAAATTAGGTTGATTGTGAATGATTGAATTAATATTTATTATATAGGTTTTGGAAAAAATTGACAAAAATAAATAAATTGAATAGGCAATGTATTAATTCCGTCTCAATTTGTTAAAAAATTTGCAACAGAATCAGCAAACGATCTTTTCTCTTGCAATGCATAAAATTGCGACGGAAATAACGATCACTAGTTATGTGGCAATTTTTTGCGACGGAAATCTTAATTGTCACATTATATTACTATAATAGTATTTACTACTGCTCCCACTTGGATGTAAATTCCGTTTGAAAGTTGTGATGAAAATTTTGTCTGTTGTTACGGTAGTAATTTGCAACTTTTTTTTGTAGTGAATGTAAAGTTTGTACGAAACACTATTCTTGTTCAAAGCTGATATCTGTATATAAATAAAGACATAAATTACGCATGCTTTATACAAATAAAAAACGTAAAATATTTGAAATAATTTTTTTGAATAAAATAAATAAATAAATAATTGATCAATAATTTATTTTTATAGTTTTTATAAAAATCAAATAACATTTTGTTTCCAAAAACTATAAAATGAAGTATTAATCAATTATTTATTTATTTATTTTATTCAAAAAATTTATTTAAGATATTTTGTATTTTTTATTTGTATTAAACTTGCGTAATTTAAGTCTTAATTTAAAATCAAATATCAATTTGGATAAAGAAGATGTTTCGTACAAATTTTACATTAACATAAGGGAATTTCACACAATAAATTCGCACTACAAAAAAATAATATATTTGTAACGGAATTCCGTCCCTAAAGTTCACGTAGTTAACGTAATTCCATTACTAATTCCGTGTCTAATGTCATTAGTAACGGAAAAAATAGATTTAGAGACAAAAAAGTTTTGTTACAAAAATGATTTTTTCTTGTAGTGAAATAAAATACAGAGTATTTTGTATATTTTTACTAAAATACAAGGGTGTTATATAATTTACCTTATAATATAGTATTTAATTTATCTTTTTTAAAAATAAAAAATTCTCTTATGGAGTTGAGCCAAGTTGAGCCGAACATGAACACAAAAATTATTAAATGAGTCGAATTCAAACAAAAATTTCATCTTACATCTCTTAACGAACGAACATGAGTCGAGCTCGAATCCTTAATGAACCGAACTCAAACATGACAACCTCGGCTCGGTTCGTTTACGGCTCTAACACGAATTACCCGCTAGTATTTAAAAATTTGAAGGATATAAAAAAATATAAAAATATATAAAGTAATTAAATAAATAATGTTTTTGATATTAAAAAGAATTATAGATTTTAATATTATTTTAAAAAGAATTATTCATTCGTCCAATTCATTTTGTTATTTTTCTTAACACAGTTATATATTTTAATATTATTTTAAATTTATAATTTTTTAAATTTTAATTACACAAATTAGTTATTTTAATCTTAATATATAATTATTTTATTATATGATAATTATTTTTACTAAAATATTTTTAATTATTACTAATTATACTCCTCTTAAATTCCAGATATATATGTTCAAATGGATATGATAGGAAGAGAGTATATATGTCTTAGATTGTATTAAATGTTTGTGTGCTTTTTTTACCACAAAAACTTCAATTTTTTTATTATTTGGACTATGTTGTTTTTCGAAAAAAATACAATTTTATTTTTTTGACAAAACATCCAATTATATATTATTTTAATATTAAATTCAAACCAAAATTTTTCAAACTAAATCAAGGGTGTGTTTGGCAATGAGCTGATTCAATTAGCGAATTTGACTAGCTGATTCGATTAGCTGTTTGTATTAAAGTGTTTGGTAAAATAGCAGTTTGAAATTAGCTGTTTATACGTATAATGACAATTAAAGACATTTTATATTTTATTTTCAAAATATTTAGTTGAGTTTTTTCGGTGGACAGATATTTTTATAATTTTATTATTAATTTTAAAAATTAGAAAAATTTAGTAAGATATTTATTTTTATTATTTTAAAAATATTTTGTAAAGAATTAATACAAATTTATTGAAAAATATATTTTTTTTATTAGAAATAGTATAAATATAAAAGAGCAAAAATTATTAACATATGCATTTTTATTAGATTAATTTTTAATTAATATATATTTACATTAAATTTATAATTTTAAATAAATATATTTATTTTTAATAAAAATATTATGTGATAAAAAATACTATATAATTAATTCAATAAAATTAATATTTTTATATTATCTTTATTCTAAAAAATTAAAAAAAACCTATAAATAAAATAATTGATATATAAAAAAATAATTATTTTAAATTTATAAATATGAATTTATAAGTTATTAGAAGAAAATATATCTAAATAATTAATAAATAGTGTAATAAAAAAAATATGAATATATGTGAAAAAATTAATTAATTTTAAGGAAAAATAAAGAAAAAAAATTGAAGTAAAAATATAATTTGAAACGTTGGTATATACAATTTTTTCAAAATTAACTTTTTAAACCTAATAAATTAATTAAAAACACTAATTTATTAAACACTAAAATTAACTAATTTAGTGATCAAACAACTAAAAACTATTAATAAACTAAAAGCTTTTGAAAAAGCTTACCAAACACCCTCCAAATAAACATACTAAATTTCCAAAACTTTCCAGAAACTCAAAAATCCTAAGACCATCACAACGGAACGCAGCGCCTCCCACGTCACCATTTTATTAAAAATAAAAAATAAAAAAATGGATCTGACACAGGAAACCGATTACTGTGAGGTTAAAGTTCTTCCCTGTAATTCCTCCTTTTGGGTGGGGCCAAGTGCTTATTTTTATATTTAATTACTAATATTAAAATTATATATATCATATTTATATTAATTTGGTTGTTTTAAAGATTTTATTTAAATTTATTATATAAATTTTATTTAATATTTGTAATAATAGAAAATTTAAATATATTTTTATTTTTATTTTAAATAGTTTTTAATGAATATTTTATAAAACATTTAATCTAATATCTACTGTTAATTTAATTATAATTATTGATTAAAAAATAATTTTTTATTAACGTATATAACTTAATTAAAATTACACATAATACAAATAAAAATAAAAGTAAATGAAAATATTCATAAATTTAAAAGTAAATTTACATGATTTAATTAAAATTACACACAATACAAATATTAATTGAAAATGCATAAAACTATTCATAAATTTAAATGCAAACTTAAGCAACCTAATTAAAATTGCAGACAATACATATAATAATTAAAAAAATATGAAAAAATCCTAATAAATTTGAATGCAAACTTAAGGAAAGCATTCGTGTGCCAACCTTTCTTTCACTCCTTTTTCAAAATCAGTCAGATTATCATCACCTTTGGCCATTAACATCATGAGCATCTCCATTTTATTTGAAGCAAGTTGTAGTCGTTTAGCATCCCGATCAATCTTCCTCGCTGTTTTTTCCAATCTTTTAGCTTTCAGAAGTGCTTCTATTTTTTCGGATTGTTGCTTCAAACTTTGTTCCTTGACTGCTGCCATATGTTCCATACTTGAGCTAAATTCGCTGCTTTTTTCGTAAAATTTTTCATATTTTTCAGTAGGATTTGAATTGAATTCCTCGTTTTGCACCTGTTTCCCCCTCTTCTTACTTGCTTTAATACCGGGGGGAGGGGGGGGCGAGTAGGAGGAGTTGGGTCATCCACATCAAAGTATGGTGTCGTCGGACACGAACTTGAATAACCACCATCTTCACTTGTTTTCGTTCGCTTTGAACTTCCACCACTGTTACGAGATGATTCGCAGTAACTGGCCTTCCATTTGGGCTCATCTCTGAGTATACGCCAAGCATTTTCATGGACGAAATCTTTCTTCTGACCGTCATTTAAATATATCTTCTTTGCTGCATTGAGGACATCCTTGCTTGCATGTCCACTGCCTATGTTTCGATTAGTCCTCATAACACCCAACAAACTTTTGCACAGCCTTACATATTTTACTCCAACTATTTTTACATTGAGTAACATCTCTGCTCGTTGCAGTTTCAGGCTTGTTCTCCATGTAGTACGATGCGACTCTTTTCCAGAAAGCACTACTTGGTTGGTCAGTGTTGGTTACGGCATCCTTACTTGTGTTTAGCCATGCACTGATTAGAAGTTCGTCTTCGGTCGAGCACCTCACCTTCCTTGTATCTTTATTTTTTGTATTGTCAGGAACATCATCATCTGCTAAATTGATAAGTGTGCACTATTGTGGAGTGTCCATTGCTTCAGTGGCTTGCATCATGAATTGAGGAGATGATGAACTTCCGAATGCTTGAAAATTTGGAGGATAGAAGTTTGGAGGAATTTGATAATATGGTGGAGGATTGAATGACTGAAATGGGACATTAGATGTAAGGAATATTGGTTGATTTCCTAACATGTTCATAAAACTTGGAAATCAAAAAGAATTTTGGGCATCTTGAGAGTTGGATGAATTTTGAGAGTTGGGATCTATTCGTGGGAAATTCAAGAGAAAATATAGAGAGAAGATTTAAGGAGATAGTGTAGATCATATCAAGTAAGTATGTAGTGTATTTATAGTAAATATTGCAACGGCTATATTTCTAACGGCTATATTCCCAACGGCTATATTCCTAACGGCTATATTCCCAACGACTATATTCCTAACGGCTATATTTCTAACGGCTATATTCCCAACGACTATATTCCCAACGACTATATTCCCAACGACTAGTTTATTTATTTATATATATGTTACCAATTCATATGCACATAATTCATTTACACAATAGTTCAATCTTTCATATTCTAAAACACATTTATTTTCTCCCAAAATGATGTCAACCCTATCCTTATCTCTGTCTGATTCATCTGACGAAGACTTGGAAAATATGTGTCAATTGGCAAAAACATATGCTCAATTGTATCAAGAGATTGAGCACATCAACAATGAAGATGAGGGAAGCTCGCGGCAACGTCGACGGAGAACATACATAGAGAGGAATCGTGAAGATGGCCATACTTGATTATTCAATGATTATTTTTCTGATAACCCTCTGTATCCAAGTTCTTATTTTCGGCGTAGGTTCCGAATGAGAAAACATGTCTTTCTTCACATCGTAGATTGACTCTCCAATGAAATGGAGTTCTTTCAGAAATGGTGTGATGCTACATGAATAGATGGATTGTCAGCATTACAAAAATGCACAGTAGCAATACGTGTATTGGCATACGGCACAGCTACTGACACTGTTGATGAATATCTTCGTCTTGGAGAGAGCACCACAAGGGCATGTTTGAAGAAATTTGTTGAAGGGATATGTTCTCTATTTGGTGAGGAATACCCGTGACGACCAAATTCTGCTGATATACAACGATTATTATTTGTTGCAGAGACACGTGGCTTTCCAGGCATGCTAGGAAGTATTGATTGTATGCACTGGGAATGGAAAAATTGTCCGGCTGCTTGGAAAGGGCAATTCGAACGTAGAGATCTTGGCAAACCTACAGTTATATTGGAAGCTGTAGCGTCATACGATCTATGGATTTGACATGCATTTTTTGGCATGTCAGGTACATGCAATGACATTAATGTACTTGATCGATCTCCGGTATTCGATGACGTTTTGAATGGGAGAGCTCAAGAAGTTAACTTTGTTATCAACGGTCATCAATATAATATGGCATATTATCTTACTGATGGAATTTACCCTCCGTGGGCAACTTTTGTTCAATTAATTCGTCTGCCTCAAGGTTATAAAACACAACTATTTGCGCAACATCAAGAAGCGGTTCGAAAAGATGTGGAGCGTGCCTTTGGTGTATTACAAGCTCGGTTTGCCTTCATTAAAACTCCATCACTTATTTGAGATATTAATTTATTAGGTAAAATAATGAAAGCATGCATCATATTGCATAATATGATTGTAGAAGATGAAAGAGACATTTACATGCATTATTACGATACATCTCAATTTGGTCATACAACAATACGAGACATGCAACTATGGAGCAATACCTACAAAATAGAATGCGACTCCGAGCTAGGAAAACACACCATCAACTCAAAGCGGATTTAGTTGAACACATTTGGGATAAGTTTGGTCAATCGGGTATTTAATTTATTTGAAAATCTATTATAATATTATGTATTTTTTTATTAAATTTGAGTTTTAACTTTAATTATTATACAAGTGTGAAATTATTATTTTTATTTATTTTATTTATAATTTTATTTTATAAATATATAAAATATTTAATGATGTGGAAAAAATAGAGTTTTTAAAAGATTCTTTTACGTGAATATAAAATATGATTGAAGTTTTTCTTGTTGACGTGGAAGAGAGAGAAGCTGTGACGCAAAAAAAAAGAATAGGAAGAAACCTGTATGAGTTTATGCATTGCGCTGCCCTAATAAAGGCTGCTTCCAGACTTCCGAGGCATAGCACGTGTGGGTGCCGTTCTTCTAGGTGGCACGTGCGGGCGTCCGTGTCAATGTCCACGATGTGGATGTGTGACGGTACTCTCTAGAAGCATCGCAGTTTCTCAATTCCTCTCCTCTCCTCTGCCTGCTGATTCGCGCATTTTCCTTACTCTCTACCGATTTCTCTGCTGCTCCATGGCGTCGGAGACCAATGGGGATTCCGCGCAGAGGAGACCGCGGCAGAACGAAGCCGCTAGGCTGCCGACGCCGGCGGAATTCAGGGGCACTCGAGGATCTCATATCCATACCTTTTTCGCGATGTCCTTGTGGCTTGGTTCGGTCCATCTAATTGCTTCCATCGTCCTTGCTTCCTTCGTTTTCTTATCTTTCTACAAAGCAGCCGGGTGCGTTGCGTGCTCCTTCCATGCCGTGTTGCATTTGTGCACTTCTGCGATGATATTTTGTTTTGATATACTTTCTTCTGGTGGTTTTGTTCAGAGTTTTCGTGTTGCTTCTGATATTAATGGTGATTCCGATTGATGAGCGGAGCAAATGGGGTCGGAAGTTAGCTAGGTGAGCTGCTGGATGCTCCTTTTACTGTGTGAAATCCATTGATTGTCATGGACCAGTTTTTGCTATAATAATTTGTACGTGATTTATCGATCAGGTATATATGTAAGCACGTGGTTGGTTATTTCCCAGTGACATTGTATGTGGAGGACATCAAAGCCTTTGATCCTAATGAGGCCTATGGTATTACTGGTTTATTGTACTCTTAATGTTTCTTTTGTTTGAATATTTGTTTCATTTCAGTTTTGGGACGCTCTTATCGTAAGCTATTCAAAGCCATAATTTTAAGTTTCTTTTAAATTTAGTATTCTGAAGATTGATTACATTTTGTGGATTAGTATCATTAAGCATATGAGATAAAATTTGTAGGATCATCTCATCTAACCTAGGATTTGAACCATGGACAAGTAATTTTGATTTCACGTGTTTGGGATTTTGAGTAGTCATATAGTTACCAGAATATCATTGACCAAACCAAAACAAAACAATTTCCTGACTCATAAGGAACAGGCTTGTAATGATGATGTTCGTCAAGAAGAATCATGGCAGGTATGTAAGCACATCACGTATCAGGATCTTTGAAGGGCATAACTGCATTTCTTTTGTATTATTTTTCATTCTCGTTTAGCATTTGGGTTAGACTGCTATATGCTTTTGCGGATGCCATGAACTAGTGGAGCTAGAATAGTTTCTTGCAGATTTTGGCTAGTTTATGTGGAGTCGTCTCTAATCAGTTCTTTGTTGGTTTCTGATATTTGGCATTCTTCTTTGCAGTATTTGGTTATGAGCCACACTCAGTTTGGCCCCTTGGAGTTGTTGCTCTTGCTGATCTTACCGGTTTCATGCCCCTCCCAAAAATCAAAGTTCTTGCAAGCACTGCTGTAAGAATCACACACTAACGAATGCATGCTATCAGGGACGGAACCAGGATTTGACGAAAGGGGCGGGGGGGTCTAACTTTAAAATTTTTTGAAATAATACAATTTATTTGTTATTAGATAATTTTATTTTTCAACATGTAATATTTTAAAAGCCGTGCAAAATAACAAACTACAACAACATCAACTATACATATTGCAATATTTATTTTCATATTGCTTGAAATCAATAAGAATTTTTTTTAATAGAAGAAAATTTTACTTTAAATATATTTAAATATATATTTTTTTTTATTATTTAAAATTCAATACCCAAACAAACACATCTTATATAAAAATTTAGTACATTTTTAGTTTCTTCAATTTTTCTTTTTATACATGTATAAATATTATATATATATCTTAAAATTAAAAAAAAAAAATAAAATAAAGGGGTGGGGTAGGGGGAGGGGGGGCTCCCCTTGGCCCTACCTAGGTCCGCCCCTGCATGCTATGAACTTGAAATTGTTGGATGCTTGGCCCACCCCTTGTAAACATGTGGTATTTAGGAGCCTTTCATTGATTGGTCAGGTGTTCTACACTCCTTTCATGAGACATTTATGGACGTGGTTGGGACTTTCACCCGCCTCAAGGAAAAATTTTACTTCTCTTCTTGAATCTGGTTATAGCTGCATTGTAGTTCCAGGTGGAGTTCAGGAGGCCATCTACATGGAGCATGACTCTGAGGTTGTTTTGTCTTTACCAACTCAGTAAATGTTCTCTTAGAATGGAATCTAATAGTGCAAAAGCATTGGTTGATCATAGAATTTTTCATATTCCTTCCGTATCCTTCCAAAGTTGCTTTTCAAATACATGCTATAATTGTCTCTGCTGTAACATACTGATATGTTGAATGATTTCTGTAGTAAACTGTTAGGTTAGTATAAATCTAGATAGAATTCTATCTAGATTTATACTAACCTAACATAATCATTAGCTATGTTCTCTTTGAGTTTTGGTTTTTGTACTATACAACCTCACTATTCTCTGTTGTTCACTTACTTTTTGATGGCAATTCTTTCTCTTCTTTAACAAGCAGGTTGCCTTTCTGCAAAAGAGGAGAGGATTTGTGCGTATTGCCATGGAAACAGGCAAGCCTCTGGTTCCTGTGTTCTGCTATGGTCAGGTCTGATCTTTTTCATTAACTGGCAGGTTGTTTAGTACTCCAGTAAAAATTTTCTGTGCTCATTGTTAAGTTATGTTTCTGGAATATATCTAACATTTAAAAGGAAAGTGTGCTATCCTGAAGGGGGATCTCTTTGTTTCATTTTTACTATAACCTAAACAAATCTGGTGTATTTTCATTTATGTATAGTTTCTGGTGTCATGCATGAGGCTGTTGGGGCACTATCTTTGGTCTGTGCTGCATGCCCATCCCTAATATTTTAAACATTAGTCTCTGCTCCCATATTTGTAACTTTGACGGTTTATTTTTCAGGACCTGTTTGTAGCCTACCATGTGTAGTAAGACTAGGATTTTGTATGTAATACCTGAAAGTTCAGACCTCAATATAAGGGATAGGAGTCTTTTACCTACAGAAGTAAATTATGATTGCACAATTTAACAGCCTCTGCTTTCGTCTAGCAATTTCATTGCTGGGAACACTTGCAGAAGGATTATCCCTATCCATGTAATAATTGAAAATGTGGCCAAGAATTGAAAAGTGAAGCAGCAAAATATTGGATTCGGAGTAAAAATTGACTTGAGAGCAGTACTTGCACATTTTGCTTTACAATTCCTGTTTTGTAAAATTCACATTTCGTTTCAGTTTATAGTTTATGTTACTGATTTCTTATTGAAATAGCTTACAAGATAGTAAATATATAATCTTGATATGATTTTCTATTCTCCTTTTTAAAGATTTTCTTATTTATTGTTGGCTGTTTCACATATTCTGCAGTCTCATGTGTACAAGTGGTGGAAGCCTAGCTGGAAACTCTACAGGGATTTCTCTAGAGCTATAAAGTTTGCACCAATCATTTTTGGGGGTGTACTAGGGTAAGGTTCTAGCTCATAAGACTACTACTGCCTTTTGACTTTTTGTTACTGCATCAATATTGTAGTGCTTGAATGTTCTGAACAGTGTTAGGCGGGAAAAAGGTGAATTAAACTATAGGTTTTAGTTTGTCTATATTGAAATCTAGAAAGATAAAAAAAAAAATGTAGGAGGGTGCTTTAGGACCAGCAGCATAGACCATTCATTCTCACATTCTTAGAGGTCTTTTTAAGTCTATGTTTCCTGATAGTTGATCGCTGATTTGTCTTTCCGTTATCATCTCATTTCCATGTGATGTAAGGACAGTTTAAGAGATACATGCTAAACACACGTATTTATGTCATCATGTGTGACGCGACTAACAGTATCAGGAGATTATTGCTGTTGTTTATTTATTTTTTAAAATTAAATGGGACAGTTTGCTTTGCTCCAAGGCTGCCTAGAGAAAAAAAAATCAAAACTAAAATTAATCATATTCATCGCTGTAAAAGGCATGCCATGTGCAACGAGCCATCCATACAGACAAGATGGGGGTCCTTGGCACCCTTGAATGGCATAATGTCGTGTGCCACAGGGTTCTAGTTTTATTTATTATTTATTTATCTATTATTTTTTTAATATTCCAATCCAACCCACTCGAACATTTTAGCCTAAAAATTGACTCCCGGCTTCTCTCCTGCTTACTTTTCCATGTGTGCTGCTTCTGTTTCTGCTTCCAATCCTCTACTTCAATCTCACCCACTCTGCTCCTCCTGTCCTCCACTCTTGTCCACTGTGTTCTGCTTGATTCATTTTATATTCAATTATTGTTTGTAATACTATGTAATGTTTTTTACTTTTTTAGAATTCAACTAAGTATGTCACAGTTGAAAGAATTTTGTGTATAGTATACTTCTTAATTTTAATAATAACCACAACATACAATGTAAATTTTGTAAGAAGACTTTCAAAATTGATATCACGAGATTTAAATATCTTGTGGGAGGATAACTGCCGCCTTGCAAACTCTATATTGATTGCACACACACACACACATATATATACATATATATTTGCATATTAATTATATATCCATACTTATGGTGCATGCCACACCATGTGCCAATACTGTTTTGGAACTGAGATGATTGTATTGGCATTACTGCCCCAGTACAGCAATACTGACTAAAATTACTACGCGAACAGTTAATTCTCTCAGAGCAAGCTTGAGATTAAAGAGTACTTGATCTTTTACTTATCTTGGCAAGCTCTACCCTGTCACACTATAAGCACAACCCGAATTTAAGAAATTAAAACTCTAGAATGATTTAATGCACTACCTGTGCATATAGGGAGAACCTTCAGCGTAAATACTTGCGAAGAAGGCAAAAAGGTAGGTCATCCATCAGGTAATAAACTTAGCAGAATCTTTGGATCTGAATTATACACAACATATCTATTGTAGTTTGCCTATAACATTGTAATGCATCCGCTGCAGATTAAATCTATGTGGATATGTGGTCTATGGCACTTCAAAGCTAAGTGTTAATAAGCTATATCATAACTGCAGAACTTCATAGTTAGTTTGTGAGATTATCTTGTCACTTATTTTGCATTTAGCTAAATTTGCTAAGTTTTTCTGCAAAGATCGTTACTGCTTTTAATAAACCCTTTGGTTCTTTATTCCTGCTCAGAATTCTCAGTTAATTCACTTTGAAGTTCGTTGCTGGGCTGTCATTTCTGACATTTCTGCGTGACTGCTTTATGCAATTTTTATTAGTTTTTTTTCTCTTATCAATACTCGTATGGTTTTGCCCTACCGTTCATCATTTTCCCTTGATTTAATATACATTGTCGGCAAAAGATTTAAGAAATTACCTTTTTGATTATGATACTTACATAGGTTTAATCTTTGAAGTTCGGTTTCTTTTCAGTTCACCAATACCGTTCAACCGTCCAATGCATGTGGTGGTCGGTCAACCAATTATGGTTAAAAAAAATTCGCAACCTACTGCAGAAGAGGTAATTTTTAAAGCTCTCTTTAATGACTGGTTTTTCACCTGGTCAAATATTATGATGTTCATTCCGATATGCTTTATACAATGATGGGAAGAAGATTAATAAGATAATCCAATTATGCCATGGAAAGATTCTTCTAGACCTCGAGGACTATTAGAAGAAATTCCTTCAACAAGTACCCATTTGGAACCTTTATTTATTTGTTTGATTCTTTGTTTTAATTTAGGGTTTGGGTAAGCATGTAGGAATGAAATTTATCGTAATAATAAATAAGTAAACTAAAATAAAATAAAACTAAAGCTATATTGTATTTTGATATATAATAATAAGCATATTTTTATTAAAGAATGACTATTGAATGAACAAAACAAAATATAAGCAGTTCTGAATAAATAATTTAGAAAATAATTGTATGTTTTCCTTTAAAATTCTAATTAATAATTAGAAAACGTATAAAATGAAATTTGTAATTAGTGCTTACTTTTTATATAAATATTTTATTATAATTAATAATATATAATACTCCCTTTGTCCCGTATCAATCTTAAACACACTTAACAAATATAAATTAATTTAATTAAATTTCTAACCTCTCAAGCATAGACTCACTCAAAATCCCTTTATTTCTCTCTTCAATTAAAAAATATTTTCACTTACTATTATATTAGCTTTTATTATCTACAAAATGATATTCATATTGTATATATTTGATTGAGATATAATGTTAAAAATATTTAAACATATTCTTAATTTTTTTAAATTATTAAATAATTAATCTTCATTATCTAAATAATTAATCTATACTGCTTAAATTTTTGTCTCCAAACAAAAAGTTTCATCTTTACTGGAACGAAGGGATTATTAAATATTGTTATATGGTTTTTAAAATATTAATCAACTGCTTATGAGAATAAGTACACTAATGGGTTAAGAATGGAATGACCATTTTAGTTTTTAGAAATTTGAATATTCCAGCTAAGAAATGGTACCAAGCATTGGAATAGCAACACAAGTATGGATTATGCTCATTCCATATTCCTATGTACCCACTGCTTATTATTGTTTTGACTTTTTTTGTATTGGGTGAAGTACTAGAAAAGGGTTATGAGGATTGTTCGGAGTTTGGCTGTTTTTAGTCTAGGCTTAAAAGATTAGTGACCTGCTTCTCATATGTAAAGCCTTTTTCTTAGGTTCTTAGGAAATGATGAATATTAATAGTGATTAGGATAGATTACGTTGTGAGAATTGAGAAGTACATATTAAATATCATATGGGGTGATTAAATAATGATTTAATGTTCAAAACCATTATGCTGATATCTAATTCATCATTATTTGTTCATGGTACTTGTATTTTTATAATTACCCAAGATGCATCCGACAGTATTTTTTTATTATAAAGAATTGTATCAATCAATTTTAGTGATCTCAATTATAAAAACTAATCTCATTATGCTAAATTAATAATTCAAATCGAGTTTTGGAGGTATCATGCTGTCTTTCATATTAAAACCTGCCTTAAGTATCACCTCCAGTTTTTCGTTAAAATGAATAACATTAAATATATTATTCTCCCAAAGTGCGTGTTGTTTACCTGCAAAATGTCTGTTGAAGTGATCAACTGTGATTTCTCCAATATTAACTATAAATGGATGTAATCCCCTTGTGCATTTTGTTTCTCATTTCATTGTTTTCTAAGAGGTCTCGAATTTACTGTCGTCATAATAATTCCGCAGATGTGACCCAAATTTGATGTTCCGAGAACCTATTTTGAACCCTTTAACGCCACCTCATTGAATCTCTTTTCTGCATTTTAGTATCATTGCCTAAAATATATTATTTCTTACGCTTCAGACATATATCTATCTCTCTATATATTAAATTCTTGTTAGGTCCCTTGGCTTGTTTCCAAGAGACACGTTCAACCGGGTCTGAACTAGATGCCAGATGATTTGTGACATGATTATTTCTTTGATGGCTGTCCTAAATATGCCATTCATTTATGTAGTCCGATCTGTTTTCCTATGAAATAATTATTATACACAGGTTGCTGAAGTCCATGCCCGGTTTGTGGAAGAGCTTCAAAATTTGTTTGAAAGACACAAAGAGAAAGCTGGATACACTGACATTGCACTGAGAATTCTGTAGCACATTGTTAACTAACTGCCAATGATCTGTAGTTTGTTGTAAATTTTACCTGTTTTTGGGTGTACTACGATTCTGGACCATATTTGTTTACACAATAATTTCGGAGAGACTTTGGTATTATTCAAATTTTTTTATAAATATTACATCAAATATATATATATATATATTTTCAAAATTTTATTTATATATTCATTGTTTCAGGGAACAAGAGCTTAGGTGGGTAACAGGAATAGGATAGTTTGTAGTTTTGTTTTGGTGATGCCTCTCTATGTTGTTATCTGTCTGATATTTATTTATTTATTTATAGTGAGTACATGGCTTGGCAAATAAATAAATTATGTATGTAATCAAGCAATGTGAATTTGCAGTTATAGCATATGCAAGAGAAGACATACATAGCATGAATGAATTGAAAACAAAATTGCAAATGCCAAGAATCACCGGAGGGCCCAATGATCGATCCATATTTTCATAATTTGTTTTACCCTTACTTTATTATGTGATTTCAGTTTCAATTGGTATTATCCATATTTATTTTGGTTCATTGACTCTATAATTTTGTATTTATAAGGTATTATTCCATAAAGCCCATCAATCTTGGACAACATTAATATCAGAACACTGATTCAAATTCAAAGAAAATTATAATTGGAATTGGATAAGTCTCTATTCGTGATAAAAGGATAAACTTTCTCCTCTTTACTTTTTCCATATATTATTTGTGTTTCTTGGTAATTAATTAAATAATCTTCCAATGTATTGTTGTTTATTTGTATTTTGTTGATGAATTTCTTAAAATTGTTTTTCGGTTTCATTAACTTTTTAATAAATTTATTGTAATATTTCATTTTATTTTTTATTTACCCAATTTTTATATTAAAATATTATAGTAATTTTTAGTCTCTGTGCACACAATATTATATTTTTTTTTGTTTGTTTTTATCATATTTGTTCGTTCCATTTTAAAATATCTATTTCCTATTATAGTAACATTACACTAATAAATATACCATTACATACGTACATGTACAAAAGACAAAAATATTAAAATTATTGTATATATTTCTGTCAAGATATTGAAAGAAATTATGGTAAAAAAAAGGAGGATGAATGCAGCGAAGGAATCAAAGAAAAGAAGAAACACAATAAGCTTATGATTGGACTGTGTGTATTCATTTGGGTTGTATATTCATTCTTTTATATTCTTAGGCCCACTTTATTTTCTTTCATTCTTGGGCTTAGTTTGTTTGTTAGAATGTTAGTGGAGGAAGCAATCGTACAGGGTTTAGGCTAGTAGCTGTATATATTCTTCTTTGTGATTCATTAATATAAGCAAGAGAAATACAATTCATCTTTCATCTCTCAATTTGCTCACTAGCTTCTGCTGCAACTATGACAACTAATTCAATCTTTGCTTATGCTACTACCCCTATAGCTCATCATTTAGTTCTTCCAGCTCTCAACATTTTAATTCCTCTGTTTCATCTCTTGTTCACCTGGAACTACCTCCATCTGATCATCTTGGTATGATCTTAACCACTACCCTGCTCACAGACTCCAACTATCTACTATGGAGTCGCAGTATCATGCGTGCACTGGCTGCTAAAGGGAAAGAAGGATTCATCATTGGATCTCTATCCAAACCCAATGAACCAACTGCTGCAACATTATGGAGAAGAACTAATAATATGATCCTTCAATGGATTTTGAATTCCATCTCACCACAACTAACAGATGCTTTTGGTTAGGGGAGTTCCAGCTATGAACTATGGGAAGTTCTAAAGGAGAGATATGGCCAGTGTAACGGGCCATTGATCTATCAGTTACAAAGAGAAATCTCTCATCTCTCTCAAAGCAATATGGGCATGGCAGCCTATTTCACTAAAATGAAGAAATTAAAGGATGAGCTGCGTTGTTTAGCTCCAATACCCGAAGAAAAAAGGGATATGGAGGAACTCATCAATAGACAAGATGTAATGGATCTTCTAATGGGATTAAATGATACCTATGATTCAGTAAGGAGTCAAATCCTAATGATGGACCCACTCCCTTCTCTCAACAAAACATATGCCATACTTATGAGTGTAGAGAAACAAGAAGAGATTCAAGGAGTGGTTCACAACTCCAACCCCATGGTCTTTATGAGTGCTCACAAGTTATCATCTAATGCCCTTGAAAGGAGAAAGATCGACAAGAAAGCTCTAATGTGTGATCACTACAAGCGAACAGGTCACACCAAGGAGACATGTTTTAAACTCCATGGATTACCTGAATGGTACAAAAGTGCTCAAGACAAGAAAAGAAAAGAGGTGAAAGGGACATATGGCAGCTTAGCATACACCAACACAACTCTTCAAATCTCTGATGAAGGAATAAGTTCTGCAACAGCACCAATGTCTATAACCTCAGACTCTCTCACAGAATTAATTCAAAGGGAGATTAAAAAGGCCTTTGAGAAAGCCAATACTCCTCTGGACCATCTCAATATGCTGGAAGTGGAACACTCAGGTATTGAATCCCTTAATATGACTGTTGATGTTGACATTAAGGATTCCTGGATTCTTGATTCAGGAGCAACCTGCCATGTGAGTAACAACATCGGTCACTTCATTCAATTAAATCCTTTAAGGAGACCAGCCAAGATATTCTTGCCAAATGGAACTATGCAGATGGAAACTCATACGGGCAACATTGTATTGAGTGACACCATCACTCTACACAATGTGTATCTTATTCCCAATTTCAAATACTGCCTCATATCTATTTACAAGTTGTGCCTTGACTCTAAATTAAATGTGACTTTCATGGCTGATTCTTGCATCCTACAGGACCTGAGAAGTAAAGTTGAAATTGGAAAACGAAAGCTCAGGGGACACCTTTACTGCTTGTCACCAGAGCCCTCCTTGAAACTACTGTCAGTCAATACGGATTTCCCATGGCACTACAGGCTTGGACATCCCTCAGAAAAAGTCATGCAACATCTAGATTGTGTAGGCAGGTCTGAATTCACCTGTAAGCCCTGTGACACCTGTCACTTTGCTAAACAAAAGAAGCTCCCTTTGATAGAAGTTTCTCTTATGTCTTATCTTGCTTTGACTTGCTGCATGTGGATATATGGGGTCCCTATACTCTTCCATCATCTAATGGTAGTAGATACTTTCTTACCATAGTTGATGATCATAGTAGAGCCACCTGGCACAATTTTTTCAATCTTCTTAAAATTGATTCAAAATCAGTTTACAGCTCAATTTAAGGCCGTACGTATTGATAATGGTACTGAATTCACTAGCCATACTTTCCAACAACTGCTGTCTGGGCAGGGGATTGTTCATCAAAAGTCATGTCCCTACAATCCCCAACAAAATGGAAGGGTTGAAAGAAAGCACCAACATTTGTTGACTCTCATGAGAGCTTTATTGTGCCATGCTGGACTGCCGACTTGGCTTTGGGGAGAGGCATTACTTACTGCCACATACATAATAAATTTGTTGCCAACACCAGTTCTTAATTGGAAATCTCCATACCAGGTTCTACACGGGACAGATCCCAAATTTGAACATCTAAGGGTGTTTGGATGTCTCTGCTATGCTGTGAATACCAATCCCAGTAGAACAAAGTTAGAAAGAAGGGCAGTAAAAGGCATTTTTGTAGGATATGAACAGGGGACAAAGGGCTACAAAGTTCTAAATCTTGAAACTCATAAGATTTTGGTGACAAGAGATGTTGTCTTTTATGAAGATGTTCTGCAAGGTGTGGTACCTAAAGACATCAACTATACCATGGCTCCTCAATCCAACACATTTCCAACTTCAGGGGATACTTCCCTTGAAACTCATTTAGGGAAAGAGCGAGTCTTACCCTCTTCAAATATTGGATCTTCAGAGCATGCAAATCCAACCGGAAGCAATTCAGAGAACTATGTTCACACTGAAGGAACTCCTAACTTTGACTCAATTCACTCAAGGGGTAGTGAAGAGTTACCTCTATGTGCTCCACCAGCGTTGCCATTAAGACCTCAGAGGAACATAAGAAAGCCGAGTTGGATGAAAGACTATGTGTGCTCATGTAAGCTGCCTCTCCCACGGGTTGAACTTGATGAACCACTCACTTATGCATATTCCTGGGTCCAAATCTTATCTCTTGGAAAGCTAAGAAACAAGCTACTGTAAGCATTTCCTCAACAGAAGCAGAATATAGAAGCATGAGCACTACAACTTGTGAGTTGTTATGGATTTCTTATTTGCTGAAAGCCTTAAGTATTGATGTGGTTCAACCATTTCCTTTGCATTGTGACAATCAATCGGCCTTGCACATTGCTCAAAATCCGGTCTTTCACGAGAGAACCAAGCACATAGAGATTGCATGTCATCTGGTCAGACACCATTACTTGACTGGATTCATCTCACCGGTCCATGTTGGAAGTAGGCACCAACTCGCTGACATCTTCACCAAAGCTCTTCCGGGACTTCTGTTTAATGATCTTCGCACCAAGCTCAGCATGGCTGCTCTTGGCTTGAGAGGAGGGTGTCAAGATATTGAAAGAAATTATGGTAAAGAAAAGGAGGATGAATGCAGCGAAGGAATCAAAGAAGAAGAAAAAACACAATAAGTTTATGATTGGGCTGTGTATTCATTTGGGTTGTATATTCATTCTTTTATATTCTTAGGCCCACTTTATTTTCTTTCATTCTTGGGCTTAGTTTGTTTGTTAGAATGTTAGTGGAGGAAGTAATCGTACAGGGAATCGTACAGGGTTTAGGCTAGTAGCTGTATATATTCTTCTTCGTGATTCATTAATATAAGCAAGAGAAATACAATTCATCTTCCTCTCTCAATTCTCTTAATTTCTATTAACCAATAAAATATTATTATTTTTCAGTTTATTAAAAAACCCAAAGGAATGAAGTATTAAATAAAGATAAATAAATGCATGATAAAATATAATTAAAAATAAATATTAGTAAAATGTTTTTCAGTGTAAATTAAACTTCATATGTTCCAATTTAAATACTACTATTTTTATCCGTTCCATTCTGAAGTATTTATTTTTTAGTTTTTTGGAGCGAAAAAGAAATTATAAAAAATTAAGATCCTACAAAAAGTGTTATGGCACTATCAGCCAGTAGAAGAAGTCTAAGCTCCTGCGGGGGAGTGTTCCACACTTTGGAAACACCATCTTCGAGAGTCGTTCCAAACTTCGCTAGCCAGTCCGCAATCGAGTTCCCCTTCCTAAGCACATGCTAAAGGCTATATACCTCAACTTCAACCAACAGTTTCTGGATTTCCTTGATTAAAGCCGGATGATGGTGTAGGTGCTCATCTGAAGACTTAAGCAATCTAATAGCCTCCATGCTATCGGAATAAATTTGGAGATCATGGATCTACAATGCCGCAGTAAAACTCAATCCTGTCCAGAGTGCCAGCAGCTCGCTGAATAGCACATATGGGGAGGAGCTCTTGTGTGCATGGCCTGAAATCCAAGACCCATCCATTATCCTAAGGCAGAAGCCATATCCAGCTGAGTCATTTGTGACACTCCAGTCACAATTTAACACATATTTCCTACTGTGATTCTCATCCCAAGAGACATATATGGACTGCCTAAGGCTTGAGGGAGTGTTCAATTTGTTCCATAGGGCATCAGTGATGGAAATCTTCCTTCCAATCAACTGGCTGGACTAGACTTCGCTATTGAACACTTGTGCATTTCTCTCCTTCCAAGCTACCCAAAATGCAGCAAGGAATCGTAGTCCGTATCTCTGTACTTGCAAGAATCCATTGGATGACCTAATTGTGATCAACATCACGAGATGGTGGCAGCCAAGCATTTTGCCAAAGAACATGGTTGCAAATGCATTGAAGCAGGACATGGTGCTAACTCTCAATGCAAGAATTGCATCTGGAGCACATAGGGGAATCGGCCAACCCTCTATAAAATCGAAGATAATTAGTTGGGAGAACATTCTTCACCAAAAGCCAGAGAAATACCTTCACCTTCTTCGGCACATTTAGCTTCCATAATCTGATGAACCCTTGATTAGCAATCCCTTAATTAGTTTGATGAATTAACCATGAGAATCGTTCCTTGATTGAATATTTCCCCGACAGCGTCGAGGTCCACACCAATTTGTCTGGAACCTCGGGACACAAAACTAGGTGACAGTTCCTGAGCTCTGTAAGCAACTTTGGAGTAAGCGGGGTTCTGAGTTGGCAATTATTGATCCTACCATCCTGAACCACGTCTTTCACTATAAGCATGACATCTCCATAATTGACGTACGAGACTTTTGTATGCAGCCTATCGTTTCCTAGCCAAATGTCAAACCAGAAGAGCATATCACCCTTTCTGATTATGGTCTTATACTCTGCTGAGAGTAGGTTCCTTATATAACATATAGTTTTCCAGCAATGAGAGCCTCCTTTGGTGATAACCTCCCAGAAACCTTCCTTTCGGTAGTAGTTTTCCTTGCAAAGTCGAACCCACAATTTATCGGTCTGTTGAGCCAAAATCCAAACTTGCTTACCTAGAAGTGCCACGTTGAATTTCTTAACCGACCTAAAGTTTAACCCCCCAAATTTGAAGGGCTTGGACATGCCACGCCATCCTACAAGGTGAATTCCTTTGCCATCCGAACTCTTTCATACAAACTTACTGATCTTTGCCTCGATCTGATTCACAATAGTAGTAGGTAGCCGATGTATCTGCATTGCATAAACTGGAATCGTGCTAAGGACTGACTTGGCTAGGCTTATTCTACCCGCTTTCGACAGGTATCTGGTGGCCTAAGAAGTAATTTTGGTGTCCTTCCTGTCCATAATCTGTTGAAAATATGAGGCTTTCATCCTTCAATCGTAGGGAAGCCCAAGTAGCACCCAATGTGTTGGGTGAAGCGAATTCCTGTCAGCCTCTGAAAAATAGCTTGGTATCTTTGAGGAACAACTCTTGAGGCCCAAGCTCAAGACTTTTGAAAGTTAACTTTCAATCCAGACATAGCAGAAAATTCACAAAGAACTTTTGTTAGCAGCTGAGCTTGCGGGTTAGTAGCCTTGGAAAAGAATAAATATCATCGGCAAAGAAAAGATGTGATATCCCAATTCCATTCCTACATAGTTTCACCGACGTCCAAGATCCATTCTCCATTTCTCTCATGATGGTCCTCGACAGCTTGTCCATACAAATCACAAAGAACAAAGGAGATAGCGGATCTCCTTGCCGCAAGCCCTTGGTAGGATTAAAAGACGGGAGTTTATTGCCATTCCACACCAAGGACAGAGATAAAGACGATACATAGTTCAAGATCAGGTCTGTGAGCTGCGAAGGCAAATTCATCTCAACTAAACAGTCCCTTAAGAAAGTCCATGAAACATTGTCATACGCCTTAGCAAGGTTGATCTTGATGATTATCAATCCCACTCTTGGGTTTTCTTTCCGAAGTTTGTGTAAAAACTCCTGGAGGATGATTGCATTGTCCGATGTCCCCATACCTTTAAAAAATGTAGCCTACATGGGGGTAATATATTGGCACAGGATAGGCCTAAGTCTCTCAACGTAATCTTGGTGATAATCTTATGTATGACGTTACATAAACTAATCGGCCGGAAATCCGAGAAAGTCAATGGGCTCGCCACTTTTGGGATCAAGGTTATGAGAGTTTCCCTAGACTCAAGTTGATAGATCCAGAGTTGAAGGCATCCTAGACCATGGAGATGACAGCCTCCTTGACCATGCCTCAGTTTCTTTTGTAAAAAATAGTCGGAAAGCCATTCGGCCCGGGTACCGAATACGACTTCACGCCTTGAAATACCCCATGGATCTTCTTTTCTGAGATTGGCTGGCATAAAGACTCTACATGAGCATGGTTTAGTGGTAAAAGGGCAGCTAGATCAAAGGCAGAGGTAATGCTAGGATAGCTCACAGTAAATAGGTCTTTAAAGTAGGCATGAGCTTCATGTTCTAGTAATAATGGGTCAGAACAAATCGATCCATTAGGGAGGGTGAGAGAGTAGACCTTATTTTG